AGTCACGACCCTTCAGAGCTTCTTAGGGATTTGCAACTACCTTCGACAGTTCGTGGACGACTACGCAGGAATCGTTCGACCCTTAGTCAAACTACTGCAAAAAGACGAACCATGGGAGTGGGGACAGGAACAGGAAGCCGCAGAAAAAGAATTAAAACGACAGATCACAGAGGCATCCTGCCTAGCATACCCAGAGAAAGGGAAAGAATACTACCTGGAGACCGCATACTCAGATCATAGTATCAGCTCGGTACTGTACCAGAGACAGGAAGCAGAGAAACGAGTTATTGCCTATGCCAGCAAAGCCCTCCGGGGAGTGGAGATGAAGTTCTCCGAGTGTGAGAAGGCGATATTTGGAAACATCTGGGCCATACAGCATTTTCGGAACTTGTTGAACGGAGAGAAGATCATCCTGGAAACGAATCATGAATCCTTGGCATACCTCAACAGTAAGAAGATTCGAGAGGGCCGCATAACCAGCAGCCGAATAGCCAGCTGGACACTGACACTCCAAGGCCTACCAATCACAGTGAAATACGCAAAAAACAAGAAAAGTCCAATGGCCCAAGGTCTTGCCGATTTACATGATTGTACCTTTGACAGCATAGAAGCAGAGGACGGAAAGATACCTCCGGAGGACAACAGGTACCTGCCCTTCAGGAAGGAGACATGTGCCGACCTACCAGTGGTATACATCGATGGATGCTCCAAGATGAAGGAGAACAAGCTTCACGCTGGGTCAGGAGTCATTTGGGAAACTGGCCCACTCACAGGGATTCAAGAGGGATTTCAGCTGGGACCAAAGTCAAACCAGTATGCAGAGTTGGTCGGGGTACACATCGCTGTCCAAATGGCATCCGATAACCAAATACGGACCATGGTGGTGTGCACTGATTCCAACTACGTACAGCACAGCTTCCTGCACCACCTACCCATATGGAAAAAAAACGAGATGAAGAACCATAGGAATAAACCAATTCACCATCGAGAACTATTCGAGGCCATAGATAAGATGGTTCAGAACAAGGATATGAAGATATTTTGGAAGAAAGTCAAAGGGCACTCCAAGATACCTGGTCAAGAGAAAACTGGGAACGACCAAGCAGATGCCATAGCAAAAGTGGGAAGCCTGGAAGGCACCCCGTGGAAGCTAGAAGACCAAACCGACAGAGACGGACAACAAGAGTCGACGAACCAAGACATCGCCGTGATAAGACTGGTCACAAGAAGTGGGAAGAACCCGGCAGAAGCTGGAACCAGAGCCCAATTGAACAGTGCCCAGCCTTCCGAAGACCTGATCAGAATGCAACAAGAGGACGAAACACTAAAGACACTCGCCGATCATATCCAAGATCCAGCAGGAAAACCAATCACTACTGACAACTTGAATGACAACAAAGAGCTCGAGATCATGCATAGCCAAATCAAAAGGTTCTCAATGCGAAAAGGGCTACTGGTATACACAAACGAAAAAGACGGTCGACCTAGATGGGTAGTCCCCTCTCAATATCGAGAAATAATGTTACAACACGCCCACAATGAACCGTGCAGCGGCCACCGATGCGAGGTGAATACGGGACAGATGCTGCGACAGGTGGCCTACTGGCCAAAAATGGGGGAAGACATACACAAACATGTGTCCAACTTGTTGAACAGTAAAGAATTCCATATGGTGAAATTATCCCTCAGCGAATCAGAGATTAACATAACAGATCTTACTTGGGCGACCGAAGAGGCTGGATATCAGCGAAATCAACAGATGGGGATGGGAATCACAGGGGCAACAGGGATGATCATACTAGTCCTGGCTATTCTAACCTTAACATACCATGTGGCCAAAATGAATGCCGAACTTAAAAGACTAATCGCAGGGACAAGCCACCTACCATTCAAGCCCAGGAACAGGGATAGAGCCAAGGCCTGATGATGCCACCCAAGAATAACCGTAGAAACTATCTTTTTAACGATATCTCCTATAACACGTAGTCAATAGAATAATTTTTCCCTCCCTTATCGTTTTACCTTCCTTTAGAATTTTTTTTTTCCTTTTTTTCTCTCTCTTGTCACATATAACCATGTTAAGTTGTGACACGTACGCGCGCGTTGTAAGGAATAGCAGCAAAACTTGAGGACAATCGATGGTTCATGATGGAAGAAGGGTATACATTTTTTTTTAAAATAACCCGTGGCCATTTGACCACTGGTCATTTTTAAAAGGGCGGAATGTTGTATACTAACCCTTCTTCCAAAATTGAGATTAATAATATTTGATGATTTTTATATATTATCTTTTTACTTGTTTTTTTTTTGAAACACACCAAAGCGCAGCAAACTGCAAAACACCAGGTGTTGTTAAGTAATGAACTGGAGGAGGGCTAGGATAGCAGAATTTGCAACCTTGCTTCAAGGAAAGATAAGGCCTGATGAACGGGCACATGTCACCCGTGCAGGCGGCAGAGACAGTGGGAGTGTCAGCCAGACATAGTTAAGGCAAAAAGCCCAACCATCCTGCATGGTTTTAAAGTAACGTCAAAATTCGAAATTCAACAACAGAGTAGGCTAAAGTATCGATCCTCGCGCTCGCTCAAATTGGAGACCAGGCTGCGAGCTACATCAATGAACCATTGCCCATTTGCTAATCCAATACTGAATGTTAATATTACTGAAGTCAAAACGAATTCTATGACCTCAGCACATGGGCAAATAATAGGGCAGTGTCTACTCAAAGGCAATGGAAGAAAGCAGAGGCGCCTTTGTCTAAATCACAACCACAGAAAGCCAGGAATCATCACTGATTGTGTGTTTAGGGATTCCGAGCTAGTTGGAACACGTGCACACAGGGGGGAGGTAGAAGTACACCTTGTCCTCCTGCAGCTGAGGGAACGAAAATAAGTGGGTCAGCTCAAGGCTGTGTGCACAGGGGAGGGAGCTGATTTAAACAACCCTGCACGTCTGAACGTGAGGGGGCCTTTGACCTGAAATTAAGAATAACACTCCCAGAGCAGAAGGTTGGATGGCCACAGTGAGGAGAATAAGAGTGTTGTATATCTCTCAAGGAGGCAGACCCAGCTGAACAACAAGGCTGCGGGGGTCACCAGAAGTTCGCGTTCGCCTAGTTAAGACAAAAAGCTCAATTATTCTGTATTGCTATTAAAGTAACGTTAAAGTCGGAATTTAACAACAGGGTAGGCTAAAGTTATTGATATTCACACCCACTCCAATTAAACCAGGCCACAAGTTACGCCTACTGAACCATCACCATCATTAAGTCAATATGAAATGTTATTTCCATACTTTAATACTTTCTATACAACTCGACCCGAAGCATATGACAATCAGAACCTTCCTAAGTCAAAATTGAATCGCACCCAGACAGGAGCGAATAGTCGATATAAGGTTGAAGAGGGAAGGAAATTAAGAGCACGGCGAACTGCAAACGTAAGCAAAAAGCCGGGAACGACACCAGCCCAGCAACAGCGAGTCGGGCTTCGACAGGCCATAAAAGTAGAAATAATAACTCCCGGGGTCAGGGGACACAAGAAGAAGCAGGCAGACAAAAACCAGAACTGACTCCAAGGTTCAACCGCCCTCACCTACAAGGAGTGACGGAAATTAATGAGGCCTTGAGTTAACGGCGTCAGCTGGACGGCAATAACAACGGCGAGCAGAGATAGGGTGGGGCAAAGACTGCGGGCCTATGGAATGCAACTTCGTGTCAGTAAAGCCCTGACAAACAAGTTAAGTTAAAGACATCACAATACATAATATCGTACATAACATCAATGTTAACGCTATTCACCGTAAACTATATTCCGCTTATATAACCATGCAGACACCAAGGAATACGAATTCCTAGGATCAAGAACTTACCCTTAACCTAAGATATCGGAAATAAATTAATAATAATAAGCATATGCATGAAAAGACAAAAGTAAAACTTATGGAAAAGCCAGGATAACGGGATGAATCACCACCAGGTCGAATATAAATACATAATAAAAAAAAAAACGATGTTAAACCCAGGGTCGGAGAGAAAGGGAGATCCCGGCCGTCTTTGTATCCCCGCAGCGCGGGATAGGAGTGTGTATACGTTCGGGGAAACACCTCCACTTGAGTCAAGCACCACGATGGGAAACGACAGACCTTAGGTTACATACAGAATCATAACTGTGAAATAGTAAGGGACAAATGTTAACTTAAAACTTCTTAACCATTTCTTTGTGCGCCGGGTCGGAGAGAGTGTTGCCCCTCCCTCCAGGTTGTGCAACACGAACAAAGACGCCTATGAGACGATTTGTAACGTCTGTGTTTTGGGTTCATGAAGAAGGCCAGACAAGAGATAATATTGCACCCAGACAGAGAGACGACTTCGAGGCAATTTGTAACATCTGATTGTTTGCTCGTGGGTTTTATGGAGGGAGTGTGACAACGGAATATACCGTACGGACACACACATGGACACACCTGCCTACGGACAGATCCTGACACAGCAAAAATCGAAAGAAGCCCCGCCTTGTGGGCGGGATCCAGGGGGATTTTTCGGCATAAAGGAAAGGATCCTGAGCATTGGAAATTAGTGCGACCAGCGGGTCGGCTCACGTGGGGAGTGCGACCAGCGGGTCGGCTCAGGAGCGAGCTCGACCGGGAGGGTCGGCTCAGGAGCGAGTGCGACCAGCGGGTCGGCTCACGTGGGGGGTGCGACCAGCGGGTCGGCTCAGGAGCGAGCTCGACCGGGAGGGTCGGCTCAGGAGCGAGTGCGACCAGCGGGTCGGCTCGACTCATCTTCAGCTCGTCTGGGACTCAGCCGAGTTCGATCGGCTTACCAAAGCCGGCTCTCGGGGCTCGACTCAAGCGGCTCCCCATCTCCTCTGCAGGCGGGCAAGACCCGCTTGACAGCTCAACTCGGCCTGCGTGGGTCAACCTCTGCCGAGTCGGAGGTCTCTGCTGCCGCCGGAGTGGTGAGGGTCGCGGTTTGGCGACGAGGCTCCAGTGCACACCCTAGTCGACGACAACACTGCACGCTGCGAGCGAGTTGTGGGCGCCACCTACCGACCGGGTTCCGAACTGCGACAGCGTATCAACGGGCATCCGAACCAGTTCACCACGGTGACAGGGGAGCGACTGATACGTATGACGCGCACCGCCCCCTCACCACACGACCACCAGGCGTCTGTTTGACATAAAGAATCGACTCCGAACACTGACTATTCAAGACAACTCTTACCACTCAAACACACTCGAACCCATAAGCCATCTGTGGCTGGGAAGGCATCACAACGAGACCGAGTGATGGCCATCCGTCGTTTATAAAGTATTCGTAATTTTTATCTTTAATATTTAGTGGGCTGTACTCTTAATCGCATAAATTCCCAACAGATCCATCAATACGAACTGATTCTTGGCACCTCCTTCCGCCGAGCCACGCTCACGTGGGGAGTGGTGGCCCACCGGATCCTTATCAGGTGATCTGGTCCCCAATTAGTAAACTTGGTATAAGATAACGATCTTCGGAAAAGGAGCACCGTCGCAGGCCCTTACTCCGAGCCGTTCTGTTGTCAGATAACCTGCCGATGTATCTGTTGAGATTGGTGCCTTTAAGAATAATAACTGTTTTTGATTGTGTTTTTTTATCGCCGTATAATCTTTCAAGTATCTTTCAGTCATAATCGCCGCACGTACTCGCATCCTCTACAGAATATTCAACTGTCCCGTGACCCAAGGTGCTAACAACGTGATAAGGGTTGCGTATGATCAATAAGGAGTGCGGTACTGCGTGAACAATATTGAGCATAATCATTCATTAACGTTAAGGTTTTCTTAGCATAGTATTTGCATATTTTAACGACTCTCTCTCACTAACAACCATCGCGTTATGCGGGATCCATGTGCCGTTGTCAAAGTGAAATCAGACAATCGTTGATGATACTGTATTGATGCCGTGTTGACGTTCCGGGATTGAGAGTTCGCATACTATATCATAGTTAAGGTTGAATTAGTAATAAATTGATCAATACAGAAGTGGTTGTGTGATTCTTTCCTGAAATCTATGCATAAGATCTGCTTCTGCGTTGAGATCTGAACTTGGTGACCTTAATAAACACACTAATACATACTCAGTAAATGTTAAAGCGATAACGGGGTGAACCGGGGACCTAAAATATAACCACGAATATACACTCTGGGAATGTTAAAGCGAGAATGAGACGAACCTAGACAACGATGCCGAGTTAATCTAAGTTAATCTTGCATACTTACACCACACCTGCATAACTGCATACGATTAATTGCCTTATTCCGATCGATAACCCACCCTCGTCACCGAGGCGGGGTCTGGTTATCATAACGACTTGCATTATCATAATTACACCCACTCGCATAATTAATACGATTACCTCTCGAATTGGCATAATTAAAATGTGCATAATTACATAAATTAACATATTTCTGGATAATTACACATTTGGCCAAATTTCATTTAATTATTATTATTTTCACTGAATATTCATAACCCACATATACAACATAATAATTTCACCCACGCACGCATACAACATAACAAATTTCGATAACCAACATATACAACAATAGCCAGTTATGACTTAAACTGGTAGATAACATCCTTCCAATGATTGCTCAGTTTGTACCCATCTTCTCGATTGAAATTGTGTCTGTGTCTATATATATGGATGGCTTCATGAACGAATCTTTGTTGATAGCCAGTGGGCTTGCAAAGTACCTTCGTCTTAGATAAATAAATTTCGTGTGAGCCCACCGCATTAAAACAATCATCAGCCACGGCCGAGGTATTGGTCCTACCGTGTTTAAGATCTGCCTTATGTTCACGAACACGGTCCGAGACATGTCGCTTAGTATCCCCAATGTAACTACTGCCGCAGACACAACTTAGTTTGTAGACGCTGGAGTAATGCTCGTCAGGGAACACATCCTTCACAGATGGGATCAGATCACAAATTTTACGTACTATGTTAAATCGAACCTGGATCTTTTGTTTGTACATGATTTTGGACATCTCTTGAGTGACCTCTGCTATGTATGGCAAGGTGATGGTTTTGATTGGGTCCTCAGATGGTTCTTTCTCAACGGTTGGGGTGATAGCTTTATGGATTGTGGAGTCTGAGAGCTTGGTGTACATGTTCCAGTTCACTGGCTAGGTGATGACAGTCGTAAATACATCGAGCTCTATGGTATCGAGTTTTGATGAGGGAATTCTTCTGAGATGGATGGTGGTGGGAGTCAGGTTTTAGATATGCATCCGTATGGGTGGCTTTCCTGTAGACAGAGTGTCCCATTGAACCATCTGGTCTCTTTTTGATTAGAACATCCAAGAATGGTTGCTTGGTGTTCTTTTCCGCCTCCATAACTGGCTATGATGTTCCTATCCTACCACCTTCCGATGTTAGTTGTGCTTTACGCCCATTTCAAACTTGCGCATTCACATGATTCACACCAAAACAGCTTCTTCGCACACCGACCCCTCGGTTGCGGCTCTGTGATTCTCCATTAACATGCTAATCTCTCATTAACATGCTAATTTTCACCTGGCAGCCCTTTGATTGAGGGAAAACCAACCACCGTTGGGTTGGCTGCCCACCACTTTCATTAACATTGGCTGCTGACATTTGGGGTACGCCCATTTCAAACCCTTATAAATAGTTTGCCTTTGGAAGCTAATCCCCCTTTTCCTGAAGACAACCGTTTGTGTTGCGATCGAAACGTCGTAGTTTCAGTTTTTTGTAATTTTCTTTGAACCTATCTACGTGACTTTACGGAAAGACCCAAAGAATAGTAGTTTCATTGCTGGGGTAATGATTCATGCTATGGCTATGAAAAAGATTGGCTTAAAGATAGGGCTAGGGTAGGGGCCTGGGCTTTTAAAGTTATAATTTGAGTTTGTACAATTAGTGCGAGTGTTTTTGCTGCAGTTACTTTACTTATTTTGTTTAATTGTCCAGGAGCACCACCCTGAGTAGTAGGACTCTTTTTTCAGGAGGGTCCTGCAATGCGTTTTTATTTTGAGAAGATGTCAGCCAGTGTCCTCTCGCCTGTAACCATCGGATATGCAATGGATCCAATAAAAAAAATGTCATACAATTTGTGAGTGTTTATACAAGAGCCATGAACCAGGGCACCTGGAGAAAACCCACGCATGTGAGGGGGAAACATTATCCCTGTATATATGGAAATAAATGATGATTAAATTTCGATTTAAAGCTTTCGTGACTGCAGGGATTCATCTTCTTGGTTCTTTCGGTAAAGTCACGTAGAAGGGAACTAATAAAATAATAAAAAATAAAACATAATTTTATTATGCTTTAATTTTTATTGACTTTACCGAAAAAACCAAGAAAATGATGATTAGTCCACTTGCTGTACCGCCATTTCCTGGCAAGTCAGGGGATGGCTCCTGCTCGACGCCGACGGGGAGTTTCACAGCATTCGTGCAATCAATCATTGTCATGACTATGGGTGGAAGTTATTTCTAAGGTGAGGGCTATGGATAACAAGGTTACCCGTGGTCATGTGGATTTTTCTCCCGGTCTTCTGGTTTTTCCCTCCACATTTAGAAACATGACTTTACAGTATTTGGCTGCTACACATTTGCACATGATAAGCCACTTCGTTGAGCTATTATTTACGGCCAAGTCGCTTCTGAAAAAGAACTAATACCTCAGTGGGCCTTAACTGTTAAAATAAAAAGAATAAAAATAGTAAACTACCCATAGGACTAGGATTACTATGAGGACTAGCTTATTTTTAACATTACATTACACGACCTTTTTCACGTCATATCCCGTTACCCTCGTCACAGTGCCCATCAGGACTCTTCTCGGTGAGCCTTAAACCACGTGTGTTTCAGCTGGGAAATATTCACCAGTCGACCCCCTGACAGGAAAAGGAGATGAGCGAAGAATCGCATCAGCGTCAACGTCCCAGAGCGTCCCTAGGCACGTGCAGCGTCTCCATCTGGGCGAGCAGGAATTCACGCGTGTGGTCGCACAGCGACTCGAGGTGTGCCTGCAGCGCCGACAGCTGGATGTGCGCTGTGGCCAGCTCCAGCTGTAGCCGCGAGTTCTCCGCATGCAGCGTGGCGTTCTCCGCCTCAAAGTCGTTGCACCGCTACACAAGACCAACGGCAGCACAGCAGAGGTCAGAAGGATCGGCGTCGCGTTACGCATACAACCCTACGTGAATGTGCGTATGTGTGTTGAACTTATTTAGCACCGTATGTAGCCGACCGTGCTAAATTACAGGAGAGCCTCCTAGAATCTGCATTCCCGGTGAAACTTTGCACTTGGTTTTGTTTTTACTTCATCAAGAAATTTGTCCCAATTGTACTATTGGAGTCACCTCACGAGGTGATGAATCCATTCGGAACTCTCGCACAGCAGCGCGATCGTCCGTGCTAAAGAACGGCCCACCCAAGCAGATATCACAGATATACCTCTGAGATTTCTTCACATGACCTCTGGTCCAAAAAGTAGGGGACAGCAATTTCCCACCCAAAACTACCCGAGAGAGCAATAAATATTGCATGACAGGATAACTGACATTTTGTTATTCTAAGAGCTGGAATTTAACCACATTTAGTACAAACCAAATCAATGTATGGGTTTTCATGTGCAGTCATTAGTATGCAGTCATTAGTATTAGTATGCAGTCATTTATTTTTTACCTACGTGACTTTACCGAAAAAATCTAAGAGTATGAGTACAGTCATTAGTAATTGGGCTGAGACCTTCAATTCGCTGCAATTACATGTTAGAAGCATGTTTAATTACTGACAACTGCTTGGATTCAAACCCAGGATTTCCAACTAAGTGCTCTGACCTCTTAGCCACCTGACCAAATTTTATTTGACAAGAGACACATCATAAGATTTCAAAGGCACCAACAAGCATGAGTTGTTGGTACCGTACCAAGATTGTTGGTACGGAGAGATCCCCATATAGCAGTGGAGTTGGACTGACATGAGCGGTACATATACTTGTGGTGCCCCGACCGCGGAGCAACTCCGCAAGTGCTGCGATTCTCCCCTACCCCTCCGCCTGAGCACACGCACGCACGCAGCACACACACACGTAGTGTCCCAGTGGGGGATCGCCTGACACAACGGGTTTTCATCCGAAGGGCCCCTAGGTGGGAAGTCCCGTGCTTTCCCAGTGCCAGAAAATTGGCCAACCCTCCCAGGACAAATAAGATTGTGGCGCCCCTAAATTGGCTTAAAATTGTATGGGCGCACCAAGGTTCACCGGGCCAGCCACAATGAGTCACGCACGACATTGGGGAAAGGGCTGGGGTGAAATATTAAGCGAGCAGACCAGACAATGAGGGTGGGGGGGGGGAATCTAGCGTCTCCGACCAAGTACACACTGACCGGGTGTGTATACGCCAGTCAGCACGCCCTCCCAGATTAAACCGGCTGAGTCAGGGATTAATGGGTATGGGCGCAAAGACAATGGGACAAAAAAGAATATAATGTAATGCTCCATGTAAGAACAGAAAAACTTTGAAAATCACAGGTAGGCGCACGATTGGCTGCGCAGGATAATGTAACCCCGGATGGGTTTTTTCGAAATCAAGGGGCATAAAAAAAGGAACCCGAAACGGTTCAAGTCAGTTCTCCTCTCCAACCTCTCGGCCGCTAAGACCGACTCCCTGCGGCCTGCCTCAAGCTGCTCACAGCATCCGTGCGATGCCAGCGAGTGCTGCTACGAGGCAGTGATAAGCAAGGTTTTTTCGTCATCCTCCCTCCAACTATCACAGCGTCCATGCGATGCCGTGAGTACAGCTGCGAGGTACGTGATAGAGTGTGTGAGTGTTTGAGGAATTGGATAGTAGTAGGGTAGGTTCTGCTCGCAGAAAATTACCTCCGGGCAGTGCAGGGATTTGCGCCGTGAATTAACGTTAGCACAGAGCCTCGGTGTGGTGTGAGTGATTTATGTGTAGAGCTGCTGCGTGGGCGGACACGTGGCAATAGTGAGGGCAGAGCCGCAGCACGAGCGCTCGTTGAGATAATCGCCTGGAGGTGCGTGCGCGTTCACGCAGCTGCTGTAGCGTTAACTGTTGTGTGTGTAGGTGTGAGTCTTAGTGTGGGTGCCGGGTAGCGTATAACTACCCACCGGCACGCGCGTGTTCGCGCCACCGCCGTAGTGCTAGTCTTTGTGCGGACGCGGATTTGGATATAACCACCCGCAGGCGCGCACGCGTGTTCGCGTAGACGCTAGCGTTAGCTGTAGTGTGTGTTAAGAGGAAACCGTTCGCAGGTGTGGGTGCGGTCGTACAGGTGTGTGCCGCATTGGCGTGAGTGTTGGTGTGTGTGCGAGTGAGGACTAACTCTGTACGGCGGCAGGCCAATAGTTTTTTCATGTCTCTCAGAGAGGGCATTAGCGCGGGGGGACCAATCACCCGGTCGGCGGGGGCCCGGCGGGGGCCCGGCGGGAGCCAATCGACGCGGTGGAGGAGTGAGTGGAGACGGGAGTGGAAAGGGCGGACGTCGCACCCCACCTGCCCGGCGAGGGCGGTGGGGTGGACGTCGGCCCCCACATACTCATGTTTCCTGAAGTGAGCTGACTCCTGTGCGGCCGCAATCATTCTATTCTAATTCGGATTTATATAGCGCCCTTTCCAGGGCACTTTAAAATGAGCAGTGGTGGTCACCTCCTCGGCCTGGAGGGCCCTGCGCAGGGTGCCGTGCGGCACGGGCCCCGGCCGGGTCGGTGGGGCGGCCCTGCGGTTGAGCGAGCAGCCACAGCTGGCCGCCCGGGGCCGCCCCATGCTCGATTCGCACAGCAGAGGTCGCGATCTGTGCGGGAAAAGCACGTTAGTGGGGAGAGTGAGCCACCACGTTGAGAAAAATGTCAAGAGATCCAAAGCTTCCGATGTCAACGCACTTATCCAACATTTCATACCTTCTACGAGGTTCTAAAACTGTTTTATGGTTGTTGCCCGACCCTCAAGGTCCACTCTTGCAGTATTCCACCATGTGGGTTTAGGTTGCTCTCTTTTTCACTGACATCTGGGTGACCATTACAAAGCCTTTATTGGTAACTTGCCCGACATGCCTCCTGCACGGTGTTGTGGTTTCAGAGGGGATGGTATTGTTTCCTGTACCCCGTCGTGCACAGACATCTTACCTGGGGAAGGTATGCAGAGCTGAGGCAGAGGGCGCATCCCACGGAGAGCCCAGCTGAGTAGGCCACAGCCGTGTCGTTGACTCGGCCTTTTGTTTTTCCAGGTTTGCTTGCTCGGCCTGCCTGTGTATTTGGCTCTCTGGTTTCCTGAAGTCCCAGCATGGCTCAGGGAGCCTCTGCTCTGACTCCATCACTGTGAACAGGATGTGGGCTGTTAGGGTTTTTCTGTTGCCATAAAAAATAATGACAGAACCAAGTATTTGCATGAAGGAAGCGGAAATGTCTGCTCCTATAACCTTGACACAGTTGAAGGTTAAATGCTGTGATTTAACCTTCATCGTAATGATTCAGAATTTAGCGTTTGTATATTCTTGAATATACGATGTTATGGTCACTAACCAAGAACACATTTCTTGAAAAAAGCACATGTGAATCTGCTGGGAGTTTACCCTGGGCCCTCGAGGTCAGAAAAAAAAAATTCGAACATAACGTGTAAGGCTAGGGTTTGAATTTTGGGGATATCACCTCTAAAATGCATAATTGGAGAAACTCCCAAAGGCCCAAACCAAGATGTCCTTCCTACCTTCCTGGTGGACCAGTGGGTCTAAGAGTCCATAGTTTTCTGAGCAAGCTACTGCCTTCAGCGGGAGCCTTTTGCATGTTGCGCAAAGATCACCCCAGCTTAGGAACATATTCTTCCCAATTCTGGTGTCCCCGGTGATGGTAACGTTTCATGAAACTACTGATGTCTCGATTTCCATGTTCCATCCAGACCTAGGCACGACGCCACACCCCATCACCATTAGAACACGCTACAACCTCGGGGTTTTATATGTGTATGTTGAACTTCCTTCGCACCGTACGTAGCCAACCATGCTGATCGAAGGTGTGGGGGAAGGACAACAAACTAAGCACAAGAAGCAGTTCTCAAGAAATTCGTTTTCAATTGCAATTACATCCAAACTTTGTCTTACACAAAAGCAGGATAGTCTCTCAATGGGGTCCACCCCATGTTCGGGTTGGCAGGATGCAACATAAAGCAAATAAAATGAATCGTTAACCTATGAATAAAAAATAAGCATATAGTGATATCGTTATTTACGTGGTCCTCGAATCCGCCTGATATCTGAATCACAAACATAGACTCTGACATAGAACACGAAATGAAAGCTGAAATGTACAGTATACAAGGAAGCATGGAGACATTAATGAAGAGAATCATATTGCGAGACAAAAGAGGAATATGTGGATAAGAGAACAAATGCAAATTAGATGCATCATTTTGATTTAAAGCTTTCGTGACTGCAGGGATTCATCTTCTTGGTTCTTTCGGTAAAGTCACGTAGAAGGGAAGTAATAAAATAATACAAATAAAACATAATAAAATTATTCTCACGACGTTTCGGCCACAACGCAAGCAGCCGTCCTCAGGTGAAAACCAGGTCCGTCGAGGCGACAGAGTCTGAATGAAACAGCACACGTGCTTGGAGCAAATCTATATATATAAAATCGTTCATGTCTGTCTGTCTGTGTGTGTGTGTGTGTATTTCGGCCCATACGCACTTTCATTGGACGGCGGTTGCCCCTGGCAACGGCTAGCCACGCCTTCGCCGCTTTCATTGGACCTGGCAACGGCTAGCGACGCCTTCGCCAAGGGCTGCAGTTTCATTGGACGGCGGTTGCCCCTGCCAACGGCTAGCCACGCCTTCGCCACTTTCATAAGCTCCGTATTTAATTAAATAATAGCCATTACACAGTATTGTTGGAGCGCTGAGGGGGGGGGAAGGAACGCCACCCGTACCCTGCCTCTTCCAAGCCGACAATTTTAGGCGAGGCCGCAGGCTTTGCACGCTACTAGGCCTCGACACCCACCACGCCACTCTGAGGTAAATTCATCAAAGTTTTTCCTACTCTTCACTACACCCCCACCACAATGTGTGCTATTAATATTACTTTTAAACCCAACGCGCCAACAATCGATTACTTTAATGTTCACTGTACAAATACTCATTAAGCTGGGTGAGCGTACTGCCAGTCTATCATGTACACTGTAGCCTGCTTATTAAGCTCGGTGAGCGTACTGGCACTCTATCATGTACACTCTAGCCTGCTTATGAAGCTGACTGCGTGTACTGGCAGTCTATAATGTGGACTGTAGCCTGGTTATTATAATCGATTCTTTATATGTTCTTTGTACAAACAGTCATTAAGCTGCTTGAGCGACCCCAGTTCGATTCCAACTCACGCCCACCACCGCTGACGATTATTTGAAACGGACCTGGCCCTCCCCTAGGTCCACTCAGCCTCAAACGCGTAACTGCTGTCGTGTGTGAACATCGTCACTGGGGAGACAAAGGCGGCGGGGCATCGTGGATCCAAGTCCCGGGCGAAGCCGGGTCATGTGTATGTGTGTTTGTGTTTATGTGTATGTCTGTGTGTCTCTATGTATGTGTGTATGTATGTGTATGTATGTGTTTGTGTGTATGTGTGTGTGTATGTATGTGGGTTTTTTTTATGTCTTTATGTGTATGTCTGCGTGTCTCTATGTATGTGTGTATGTACGTGTGTGCATGTGTTTGTGTGTATGTATGTGTGTGTCTATGTATGTGTGTGTATGTGTTTTTGTGTATGTATGTGTGTGTATGTATGTGTGTTATGTGTCTGTCTGTGTCTGCATGTATGTGTGTGTGTATTGTGTATGTGTTTGTGTGCATGTATGTGTGTGTTTGTGTGTATGTGTATGTCTGTGTGTATGTGTTTGTGTGTATGTGTGTGTATGTGTTTGTATGTGTTTGTGTGTTTACGCTCGCATTACACAAATGTGTTGCTGGTCTAAGGCGTTCCTCGCACAGCATTGCCGCTTTATTATTTCAGTCGTTTACTGCCTTACGCACCCTGAAAGTCGTGTGTGTCTGCAGCAAGCGCGTGTATGTGTACCTATGGACGCGCGCGCGTGTGTTGTGTAGGGGGAACGGTAGTGTAGTGCTTAGCGTGCTGTCTGTGTCTGTATGTGTGTGTGTGTCTGTCTGTGTCTGTCTGTGTGTGTCTGCGTGTGTCTGTGTGTGTGTCTGTGTGTGTGCGTGTGTGGTGTGTGGGGAACGGTAGTGTAGTGCTTAGCGTGCTGTCTGTGTCTGTATGTGTGTGTGTGTCTGTCTGTGTCTGTCTGTGTGTGTCTGCGTGTGTCTGTGTGTGTGTCTGTGCGTGTGTGGTGTGTGAGGAGCGGTGGGTGTAGTGCTTAACGCTACGCTGCGCTACCAACCCGGCGAACCCAGTTCCATTCCCGCTCACGGCCACCACCGGTGACGATTATTTGAACCTCCCCTAGGTCCACTCAGCCTCAAACGAGTAACTGGTGTGGCGTATTAACATCGGCACTTGGGAGACAAAGGCGGCTGGGCGTGGTAGATCCAAGTCCCAGGCGAAGCCGGGTCATGTGTATGTGTTTATGTGTATGTCTGTGTGTCTGTATGCATGTGTGTTTGTATGTGTGTGTATGTGTTTGTGTGTATGTCTGTGTGTGTATGTATGTCGGTTTTGCCGCCGTGGTGGATCCAAGTCCCGGGCGAAGCCGGGTCATGTGTATGTGTTTATGTGTATGTCTGTGTGTCTGTATGCATGTGTGTATGTATGTGTGTGTATGTGTTTGTGTGTATGTCTGTGTGTGTATGTATGTCGGTTTTGCCGCCGTGGTGGATCCAAGTCCCGGGCGAAGCCGGGTCATGTGTATGTGTGTATGTGTTTATGTGTATGTCTGTGTGTCTGTATGCATGTGTGTATGTATGTGTGTGCATGTGTTTGTGTGTATGTATGTGTGTGTGTATGTATGTGGGTTTTTTTGTATGTGTTTATGTGTATGTCTGCGTGCCTGTATGTATGTGTGTATGTACGTCTGTGGATGTGTTCGTGTGTATGTATGTGTGTGTCTATGTATGTGTGTGTATGTGTTTCTGTGTTTGTATGTGTGTGTATGTATGTGTGTTATGTGTCTGTCTGTGTGTCTGCATGTATGTGTGTGTGTATTGTGTATGTGTTTGTGTGTGTTTGTGTGTTTACGCTCGCATTACACAAATGTATAATGCGGGTCTAAGGCGTTCCTTACACAGCATTGCCGCTTTATTATTTCAGTCGTTTACTGCCGTATGCACCCTGAAAGTCGTGTGTGTCTGCAGCAAGCGCGTGTATGTGTACCTATGGACGCGCGCGCGTGTGTTGTGTAGGGGGAACGGTAGTGTAGTGCTTAGCGTGCTGTCTGTGTCTGTATGTGTGTGTGTGTCTGTCTGTGTCTGTCTGTGTGTGTCTGCGTGTGTCTGTGTGTGTGTCTGTGCGTGTGTGGTGTGTGAGGAGCGGTGGGTGTAGTGCTTAACGCTACGCTGCGCTACCAACCCGGCAAACCCAGTTCGATTCCCGCTCACGGCCACCAGCGGTGACGATTATTTGAACCTCCCCTAGGTCGACTCTGCCTCAGATGAGTAACTTAACTACTGTAGCGTATTAACATCGCCACTGGGGAGACAAAGGCGGCCGGCCGTGGTAGATACAAGTCCCGGGCGAAGCCGGGTAGTACAGCTAGTATATATATAAGCTGGGCGCCTTGACAAAGGAATTTGCATATCAAGAGGAATTTAGCATATTTATGGGAAATGCAGGAATGTGATTAGTACTACATATGCATGTGCATTATGCAGGATTAACAGCATCAAAGGGAGCTGCAGTTGCTGCTGCTGCAGTTGCTGCTGCTGCAGTTTCTGCTGCTGCTGCAGTTGCTGCTGCTGCTGCAGTTGCTGCTGCTGCAGTTGCTGCTGCTGCTGCAGTTGCTGCCTTATCAATTTTAATATAACACTATGTATTATTCTACCCACCCTAATGTGTATCACACTGCTATATATTTACCATACAATTACGACACCATACATTACTCTGCACACTGCACCATGCCAGTGAGTGGAACGCGGTCTGAAAGTCACCGTAAACGTGAACACAATCAGTTAAGATCCGAAATGGTTTATTACGTCCTTCCAATGATTTCTAAGCCAGAATCCATCTTCTCGGTTGAAATTGTCTCTGTGTTTGTATATGTATATGTGGATCGCCTCATGAACGAATCTCTCATGATAGCCAGATGGCTTGCAGAGAACCTCTGTCTTGGAGAAGTCAATGTCATGTGAGCCCACTGAATTGTAACAGTGATCTGTCACGGCTGAGGTGTTTGTCCTACCGTGTTTCAGGTCTGCTTTATGTTCACGGATGCGGTCCGAGACATGTCGTTTGGTTTCTCCAATGTAACTGCTACCACAGAGGCAACTTAGTTTGTAGACGCCAGGGTACTGTATGTCTGGAACCACGTCTTTTACAGACGGGACCAGATCACGGATTTTATGTACTGTGTTGAATCGGACCTTCATCTTGTGTTTAATCAGGATTTTGGAGATTTTTTTTTGTGACCCCAGCAATGTAGGGTAAGGTGATGGTCTTGAAAGGCTCCTCAACAGGATCCTTCTTGATGGTTGGAGTGATGGCCTTGCGGATTGTGTAGTCGGAGTAACCATTAGCCTTAAGAGCTTGGCGTACGTGTTTAAGTTCACTGCCAATGTGTTCCTGGTCGGAAATGCATTGGGCTCTATGGTATAGAGTCTTGATGAGGGAATTCTTCTGGGGATGGATGGTGGTGGGAATCCGGTTTTAGGTAAGCATCCGTATGGGTGGCTTTCCTGTAGACAGAGTGGCTCATTGAACCATCAGGTCTCCTTTTAATTAAATTCCTCTTGATATGCAAATTCCTTTGTCAAGGCGCCCAGCTTATATATATATATGCTCCAAGCTCGTGTGCTGTTTCATTCAGACTCTGTCGCCTCGACGGACCTGGTTTTCACCTGAGGACGGCTGCTTGCGTTGTGGCCGAAACGTCGTGAGAATAATTTTATTACGTTTTATTTTTATTATTTTATTACTTCCCTTCTACGTGACTTTACCGAAAGAACCAAGAAGAAAAGTATATGGGCTTGGGTACGATTCATTGCACAAAGCTATCATTTAAGAAAAACTCATACTTACCAGCGCTTTGCGTCATATTGGAGAGATTCTCCAGCAGGTAGCCGAGCTGAGAAGCCTCGAATTCATAATCCTTGAGACTTTGTTTGCTGTTATTGCCGTTTTCCATTTCAGGTCCAGCAACTGTGAGCAAATAAAGTGACACGGTATAATAATAATAATGTATATCTAAACGTAACGTGGCAAGCCATTAAAAGGGGGCTTCAGTACAATAATACAACTTAGATTTACGGTGCAATCATTAACACTACAATTGCATATGCATCTCCAGTTGTGCTCCCTAATCATGCTTTAGATGGAAATCCAGGAACATGCAGCTATAAACAGTAATTCCATATTTGTGGTCTGAGACCACTCTACAGTAATGCAATGTACATGATAACAATATAAACGAATAACATTAACAACGTATATGTTTCACCTCAGGAGCATGCAGATTGTTCACATGTTGCCTTTCTTTGTTAATTAAGCAGAAAAATGTTAAACAGTGCAATTGCATAAAATAATGAAGACTTGCGAGGATTTTTTTATGATTGTTTGGAGACTTACGGAAGTGAATGGGGACAGCAAATTACCGTGTGTGTGATAATAAAACATATATCCCAATAGCACTAAAATCTTAAAATAAGCATTATCTAATCCGTTACTGGTCATATCTCATGCAGGGAAGGCAATAATCCATATCTTCACTACCCTACCGTGTCTCCTTTCAATAGTTGTTTACAATGCCAGTTCGTCGTTGCACCTAATGCTGAAGTTTTGCCCTAACTTTAATGCGGTAATGTTTCTTGGACACCTAAGGAATTTTTTTTTTAAAAACCCACCAAATACGACGCGAAAAAACGACTGCAATTCATAAACGCTGTACACTATATTGCAACAAGGAGCAGTGAACGTCTGGAGATTTGTGTGCAAAAACTGTGGTCACCAGTCTGTAACAAAAAATTATCCCCTTAATCCTGTTGCTGCTGCTCCTCCTGCTGCTGCCGCCACATTCGGGGCCCTGATCTCTGAAAAGGCTCTCAGCTCAATGTAGGGAGACGAACAAAAAATGAATATTGTGCATCTTGACTCTGACCAACAATAAGGTGCACCCTAGTAATTGAGTAGTACAGTGACGTATGTTAATGCTGAAAATACGTTTCTATGTCGATTTATGTGTGTTTGTGGGAGGGCAAATTTGCTCGTATGGAGAGGTTGGCCTCTGCCATGGAAATATGAAATTTCCACCATGGGATCTGAGGGCATTAATTTGCTCGAAACACATACACTGTATTATTACAATCCCTCTTACCACGAAGTGAACTGACTGTAAAAATCTATCTATTTATGTCCCTCTTTATGCTAGAATCTTCAATTTCCTCTGCCTGGCTCTGCCTATATTCAATGCGATAGTTAGCCAGTCTAACTCGAACCTCTTACTTTGGCTATTTCAACTTAGCCTGCATCCTCCCATGTTGTTTATTAGACTATTCTATTCTTCTGAGTGAAAACTGTGTTCCTCCTCAATCACTCCTGAAGAATAACATATATTCCACCATCACAACCACAGTTGATGTTCTCCTTATACAACCAGCTCATGTGCAGTTTACGAGATGGATCGTAACTTCACAGGACCGTGAAAGATGGCGACAAACTTGGGTACGATTTCACACAGCAGTGGATTTATCATGGCTGACGACGATGACCGGAGTTGGGAAACGTCATGAGTCAGAATCACCTGACAGTGATAGGGGCTTTGAAAAATGGGCTTCGTTGGACCTTTCAGCGTGATAAAGCTATCCGAGGCAGAGGCCAGTGGGCGCACACATACACGTGGAAGAACTATTGAGGATTAGCCACTCCTCTTCTCCTCGCACTACCACCACCGCCTCCCTCCCTCTGCTCCTCAATATTGTTTTTTTTTACATCCCCAAATTCTGCACGAACAGAATTAGATTCAAAAACGTAATTACTTGAAAAGCATGTCCAGCACCATTGTTATGTTGCAGCAACAGATCAATGTCGCGATGTCGTCACGGCCAACGCTGTAGATGCCACCACACCTCGCATTCTAAATTTGGAGGGAAAAACCGGAGGACCCCCGGAGAAAAATCCACGCGACCACGGGGAATAACATGCAAACTCCAAATATACAGCAGGCGTCAGGGTTGGGATCGAACTCACGGCCTCCTGTATACCAGGCAAGGCAGTTAACATCTTGCCACCGTGGCCCCCTAAGATCTGCCCTAACAGTCTCCCACCATCTGGCCTGAGGTCTTCACCTTGGTCACCGGACCGACATAAAACCACTCCAATGCCTGCCTCCGCAAAATAACCCCTTAATAAAGCTAATGTAAACATACAGAATGAGACCACTATATTTATTCAGGGAGAGTTTTTCTCAACTTATGTGCGAGTCCAGGAGTCGGCAACCAACATAACAAGTCGAGCCATTTTGTTAGAATTCGGTCAAATAAACTCAATATTTAAAGAGCTGCAATGAATATGTCTTTATACTGGAGGAATCCGATGAGCTATAAGGCTCTTTTTCTCAGATGCCCCCTGAATATGAAGCAGCCGCAGGTTGCCGACCCCAGTGCTAGCTGGACAAATTGTTAGGTGGAGGTACCCACATTGCACCTTACCATAAGTGGATCAACAGCTGGCTTTGTAGCAGTGTTATCATGGAACAACGAAAATTATATTGTATGAAGCAATTCGTCCAAGGATTGAACCACCAGGTTGGGCATTAAACGAATGTTGACTGAGAGTCCAGTGTACAAGCTAATGCAACTATACACTACTAGCATAACGTTTTATAGAGAAGTCATCAACTGAAACGGCCGTATAAAATGTGTAAACTATTTTTAAAAAGTTGTCTTTATGAACTTTAAAGTCATTAAAGTAAGAAATAAAGCGAGACTGTGCTTGCTAAGTGCGTGCGCGCAATGCAGATGCGTATTAAATATTTACTCAAACGGAACGAGTCGGACATCCTCAACATGAGCTACGCATTTCAAATTCTGTAATGGAGAGCACGTAAAGCTTTTTAAACATCAAAAATAAAACAGCCAATGCGTAAAAGTGTGATCATCGGTTTAGTTGTTTAAGTAACAAGACGAAAGTTTTTTTTTACTACAAACCCTGAAGGCAAGCAGCATGTATGCCACCGGCAATACGAATCACCCAACGCTGCGTCCATGTTTACGCAGACTGGCGAATGCCGTGGATGCACTTACTCGAGAGGTCACCCGCAAGAACCCAGTGGAGCGTTCCAAGCCATCAAGGATGTTTTTATGGGAACAAATCCAGCTGTGTAAACTATTCCAAGCCACTTCCCCGATATCACAGGAGCCAAACTCTCACATTCTTTGCATATTTCCTACGCGTGTTCGACAAAAGAACATATAATTATAATGTAAAAAACCTCACCTCCGCCAAATGAATCCCTCGATATCTTAGTTTCTGGTCGTTTTCAGCGCGGCATCTCTTCCTGCGCAGCACGAAAGAGCGTCCGCTGCTGTGAAAGAACACGGAGCTGGCGGAGAAGGGGGAGCGCAGGGCGCTACGGGGCGGGAGGGAAGTTGCCGTCCCTCTGGTGAAGCTGCGCGCCGCGTTCCGTGGCTCCGCCGCTCTTGGCGTGAGATGGAGAGGAAATGGCTTGCACACTGGGCCCTTGTCTTCCTGCGAGGACAGGCTCTGCCAGCCAGGCTTGACGTTTCCCTCGGAGGAGGGATGAGTGACGCGCAAAGAGCACGCTCAACCTCGCCTCCCGTTGCTTCTGTTGGTCATGAACCCAACCCGCGTGTCCAATTTTCACGACCCGTGAGCCGGGACTCCTCCACTTAAACTGATTGGCCCGTTTTTTGAGGCAGGAATTTTGCAGCTATGCAGCAAGGAAGGAGGAATTCCAGGAATAAAAAAGGGCCAGTGTCGTAATTTACTCGACCCAACGAAAAACCATAAAATGTAAAAATGCAGTGATAAAATGCACACCGGTGCCCTTTTTGTGATACTTGTTAAACAGGGTGACTTGTGGGTGTCAATTAATCTAACCAATATCTGTGAGAACTCTACAATGTTTTCATATTGTAGGAAGTAGTTTTTCTTTTGCAGGAAACGGGGATTAGAGATGATTATTTCTCATAAGTATGCCATCACTCACAATAATTATTAATACCACTAGATATAAAACATTTTTTTATTTTAATAGCCAAGACCCACTGATCTATATTGCTCTTTTTCAGAAGCGATTGGCCACAAATTATAGCTCAACAAAGTGGCTTATCATGTGGAAATGTATAGCAGCCAAATACTCTAAACGCATGGTTCTAAATTGTGGAGGAAAAAAACTCGAGGACCGGCTAAAAATCCACACTACCACGGCGATAACATGCAAACTCCGACTATACAGGCGTCACGATCTCCAGTATACCAGGCCAGGGAGATAACATCTTGCCACCCCGGTACCCCTTAACTTTTTGTCCATCCACTGCTAGATGAAGGCCTCCCCATGCTGCATCAGTAATGGAGTTGTTTGACCATACTTCACCATGCTTGCCGTGATGGGATGGTGAAGGTTTAATTTGCCACAGATGTCAACCATGCCCAAGATTTGAACTCAGATATCCGGGTTCATAGGGAAGTCTTCTAACCACTGCACTACCTTTCCACCACCACTGATAATGCCGTGCAGCTAAGAGCAATGCAACTGCATATCGATGTCAACGTTTGTTATGTTAGCCGTATAAGTAAAACACTCACACACTATGAATGTGTAACCAGTGTAAATGCATGCTCTGTTCTTGCTTTGAGTATTCGGCTGGCAGGAAGCTCCCGAGAAGCTGCTCTCTCACTTTATAAACACCTGCGTAGAGACCAACCAAGCAGAGTTCATACACCAGGGCTTTAACATGTGCAAAAATACACGTCAACACGGTTCACTTTCCTGATAGAGACATTACACCAGGGGCTTCGACAACCCAGCTTAAATAATGTGCATCTCTGGGAATATGCAGATATCGTAAACAGCAGAAACACATTCCTTGCAATGCATAGAAGCAGATAACAACCACGTGAAACTGTGCAGTTAGTGCATTTCTTAGAAACTGCAAATGGATTTAAATCCCGTTCGCTCTTGTATATTTTAGCTGCGAATGTTGCCAGGAAATATGATAAGTAATGTATGAAGGCTATATATTGAATTTATTTCGCACCGGACGTAGCCAACCGTGCTAATCGGGGGAAGGACAACAAACTGAACACAAAAATCAAGTAAATATGGATAGCTGTAGAAATTAGACATTAATTATTTTGTAAATATGCAACCCCTATTCTAGTTTATTCCACATTAAAGCTGCCTCTTCCGTTTTGTTAAATACCTCCATCGTCGTTAGCATTTATGCTCATCTTTTGGCCTGACTTTAGTACTCACTGGGTTCTAAAATTAGAAATATATTTTTTTCTTTTACCAGGTAAAGCCCACTGAGCTATAAAGCTCCTTTTTAGAAGCGAACCTGGCTACAAATTACAGCTCAACAAAGTGGCTTATTACGTGGAAATTTATAGCAGCCAAATATTCTCAATGCGTGTTTCTAAATGTGGAGGGGAAAAACCGCATGACCCAGAGAAATATCCATTCGACTACGGGGAAAACATGCTAACTCCAAATATACAGGGACATGTCCATCACTGTGATGAAGCTGGAGTTTACGTTGTTGTCTTCATTACCCTATAGAAGCATTTCGTTATCCAACATTTACGTGTAAAATGTCTGAGCGTCTCTTTGCTCAAGTGAGCATGAGATGGTGCCCATCTTTCTCGGCAGCTTGTGGCTATTGTTTGTTGCCATCACAAATGAAAAAGAAACCCCGTTGTGACGCACATTTTACCAAGCTCGACCAAGCCACAAATTTATGGCATAGTGACATTAGCCATTGTTTGCATTTCCAAGCAAACCAATGTGCACAACCTCGGATATAATTACAGGAAAGGATTTTTTGTGAGCAGAAAAAAATGTAATACTGTACGCCAATTTTTAAAAAATATTGCGTTAAATTAATAAATAACCCAGATTCATGGCAATTATGAGAACAAACGTCTTCTGAGATGTATGACGTGATGAATGTTCTCTTGTAATCTCCAGTGCTGGTTCTAAAGGGACGCTCTTATGTGACATTAATATCGGTTAACTCCAACTTGGCACATTTGCGAAGTAACGGCTTTAGAACGGTAGCGTCACACAAGAAATGTGGAGGCTGCGAGGGATGCTTCACACACTTGCACGAATACTGACTGAAGGCTGGCGGGACTGCTCAGGCTAGCAGATGTCACGGTAGGCAATTCAATTTCATGGGAATTTATTTGGCCATTGCAGAAATCCCATCAACTTGAATGCAAACAACCGTGGACTCGGTGCCGTTACGGTAATTAATTTAAGTAGGGCTATTGTAGAATAATGCGAAAACGGTCATTGACAAACACAATATTCTTTAGGAGAGTCTGGGAAACCTTCATAGTCATATCCTGTGTAATCTTAAAACATTCCTTTGGAAAGTCTTTAGGGAGGCTTTAATAGGGGACTTAAAAAAAAAACTTGTGATAAATAGAATCTGTACCAAGAGTTTAACTTGTTGCATATGTTGTACTTGTGTACTATTTTTAATTACGGCACGTATTCCCAGATTGTGTTTAAAATACATAACGTCACCAATGAATGCATAATAAGTACAGTCGGGATGTGTGCATATTGCAACTACACAAAGGCTGAGGTGAAGGGCTGAGGGACAGAATCCCTCGCAGCCTCCACATTTCTTGAGCAACACACCCACGTTTCAAAGGTCATGGGTTCAGCTGGAAAATCCCAGAATTTGGCTCATAGCTGTGGGAACGGCGTTACAAGCGCTTCTGCCCCTGGGGAAAATGCGAAGCCTGTCATCCCATTGGCACGTAGACTTCAAAGATCCCTGGACTTGAAGGTGGCTGGGCAGCTCAGAGATGGATAATACTATGCCTGCGGTCTTTGAACCAATGCAGCAATGCTGGATATTCGTCATGAGCTTCTAAGATACAACCAGATGTTCGTGTACAATAAACGTTGATGGCCTTAGCCTCATCAACAAGCACTGTAAAAAAGGACAATAGGCCGTTTTCCACTTGTTTTTGAGCGACGCTCCTGTTCACATCAGTCGTGCAACTGCTGTGATGTAATTAAAGCTGTAGTAGCTGTCACCGTTGTCATTTGCCACGATCAACAGCCTTTGCAGCATTTATTTATTATGAAGCCTGTCATCCTATTGTACGCGCGAGGTTTAGCAACGTGACAAGCGAACTTGAATACGGCGTAATGTTGCCGCTGTTATAGAGTTTTGCACTTGATTTTCCCCAGCGTAACTCTAAGGGTCAGTGCCCAATTCAGGATTACTCGGACCCTGGGAAAACTGAACGCTGGATTGGAAACAGACCTTGGAAGTTGGGTTTCAACTGCATCAGCTGCAGTCTTGCAGTAGAAAGTCGAGGATTAAGGGATGTACTGATACCTAGAGCATTGGCCGTTTTCCAACCTCTTAATTTCCAGTGGTGAAGTGGTGATGATACCGAAGGTCATCACGGAGAAAACTATTCAATGGTGACGCCAGAGCTACTGTAACTGTGCACAGAGCAAATCACCTGTGTGCCTGCATGGTTAGAAAGATCTGTGGTGAAAGCCGACAAATATCTTGATGAGTTTGTTCCACAATGTGAGATGTGGCTGCCATGTGGAATATAATATTAATTAGCTTTGTTCCCAAGTGCAATACACAATGAAGAAACAATGAGGAAAAAGGCACACACAAATCTTTTAATGCTTTACAAGAGTCTGTGTCCATGAAATTACCAAAGTAATACAATGTAATCTGAATTATGACTTGTCTGGCTGCGTATCATAACAATTTGTACACTTAACTTAAGAGCAAGATAAGAGAGTATGGCTGTTAGAATTGCACATCTGCCCTGCCATTTCGGTGAGGAATAACCAGGGTGTACATTTGTAATGACATGATGACACCTGCTGGCTGGGAAAAAGAAGCATGGGTACGGGCACAGTTAAAATAACATCCAATCGGAGAGGGAGAGGTATCTGTGGCAAAAGAAATATGGAGTTGGCCGAGATGCTCTGGGAACCTGCTCGAAAGTTCCACATAAGGGCGTGGCCGGAGGCAGGGCCTAGCCAGGCGGGGCCGAGCCACGCCTGGGGAGATATAAGGGCGAGTGGACCCGGCGCTCGGGGTTTGTGTGTGTATTCTTGGGTCCGGACTGCATCGCTGCTCGCCATCATCTCTCTCCGTCGTCCGGCCACGTGGAAGATCTCCTTCGGGGATTCCATCGCCATCCTCGTCACGCCGCCAGACAGCGGCGTAGCCGAGTGAGGGCGGTGGAACCACGCCGAGTGATCTGCTGTGTGTGTAGCCAGTAGAGACGTTAATATCTCAGAGTGAGAAGAATAAGGTTGGCCTGTGTTGTGCCAGTGTGAGAAATAAATGAAGTACCCTCTACACGACATGTCGCGGAAGTCGCTCATTACACATTTATGACATTACACGCCCTATTTAAGGTCGAAAACTAGAGGACAGTTTCACAATTCTAGCAACTACTTGATGATGCTGGTGGTAAATATTGCTCTCTCAACACACCGGTGCTGCTGAAGCAGTAATAAATTGGCACTTTTGATCACGTGACAACCTTATTCATATTCTGTGTCGAGTGGAGGAGGATTTACAACACGCATTTTATCGACACGATCTTACCC